CAAAACCAAGTGCTTGTAATTTTTGACTGAGACGGGAGTACCATGCCCTAGGAGCTTGTTTGAGACCATACAAAGCTTTATCTAACTTGCAAACATGGAAAGGTGTGTTTTTGTTCTCAAACCCAGGAGGTTACTTCATGTACACTTCCTCTTCCAGAACACCATGAAGGAACGCGTTCTGAACATCTAGCTGTCTGAGACTCCATCCCCTAGAAACAACAATAGACAAAACAAGGCGAATGGTGGCAGCTTTTATAACGGGACTAAAGGTGTCCTCATAGTCTATGACATACTGTTGCTTAAATCCTTTGGCAACAAGTCTAGCCTTATACCGATCAATAGTTTCATCAGACTTCCTTTTTATTCTGAATACCCACTTGCAATCAATAAGATTTTTACCTTGCCGTGGAGGAACTAGATGCCATGTCTTGTTTTTCTGGAGTGCTCTATACTCTTCTTCCATAGCTTGCTTCCACTTTGTGTCACCTAATGCCTTATCAAGCATTTGTGGTTCACCTGTAGAGCAAGCTAAGCCAAACTTAAGTACCTTTTTATAATTAACAGGTTGCAATACCCCTTTTTGTAGACGTGTGCGTGGCATCAATGGTGAAGCAGCAGCAGTTTGCTGCACAGAAGATCCGGGGTCTGCAGCAGAAAAATCCACAACAGCATCCCCCGGCGATCCCGAGGCAGATACTCTGTGATCTGATGAGGAGGCATGATTTTCTGCGGCCTCAGCGTGTGATGAAGGGGCGCCATCCACCATAGAGGATCCGCCGCAGCAGGAGACCCGCTCCCACCAAGAGCATCATCGGGATCCATGCGGGATCCAGCGCCTGTCGGGTGGTCCACCGCACGGGACCCCGAGCCGGTCGGTTAACACGGACGCCGCGCGTAGCATGTGGGCGGATCGGGAAAGTGGCTCATCAGCTGCCGCGTGGAGCCCGGAGATTGGCGCGGTCCATCAGCGCCCGCTGATTGGTTAGGGGCGAGCCGCGCTGCCGAGTTAGGGCGGTCAACCCGAGCGCTGTCGGGCATGTCGTTGTCAGGCGCAGGTGAAGAGGGCGTCAATCCCGAAGGAGATCTCCTGTAGGACTGGTGCGGCCCGGATCCCGAGGAAGATATGTTCCCCGAGGGCCTGCACATGAAATATGGCTCGTTTTGAGCCGTTTCTTCACTGTTTTCATCACCGTGACCACCATTGGCTTCGTTGTTTTGTCCTGCATCATCACATAGCTCAAGCAAACCGTTATGAGGATTAGTTGGCATGTGATCATTACAGTTATCTTCCCCAGAGGTACCTACTAGATGTGATGGCAAAAGGAGAATTTCTTGGCAAAGAAGAGCACCGGCGTTTGGATGTAGATCGGCAAAGGGAAATTTTGTCTCATAAAAAACGACATCTCTAGAGATATAGACTCGTCCAGTGGAAACATCAAGGCACTTAACTCCTTTATGTTGAGGGCTATAGCCCAAGAAGACACACTGTTTCGAGCGAAACATAAGTTTATGATTGTTGTAGGGTCTAAGGTTTGGCCAACATGCACACCCAAAAAAATGAAGTGATGTATAATCGGGTTTGGTGTGAAGGAGCCTTTCTACCGGTATTTCATGATGAATGACACGACTGGGAAGCATGTTGATGATATGAACAGCGGTAAGAAAAGCATCGTCCCAAAATTTGAGGGGCATGGATGCGCCGGCCAAGAGAGCTAGACCAACCTCAACAATGTGCCTATGTTTTCTTTCGGCAGATCCATTTTGCTGATGTGCATGAGGACAAGAAACTTGGTGAGAGATGCCAAAATTTGGAAAAACGAGTTTAATTTTTCGTATTCCCCTCCCCAATCGGATTGAACGGCAATGATTTTGCTATTAAACTTTCGTTCAATAAGAGCTTGGAAGTTGTGAAACACTTGAAAAACCTCAGATATTTTTTTAAGTAAATAGATCCAAGAATACTTGCTATAGTCATCAATGAAGCTAACATAATAAGTATGTCTACCAACAGAACTTGGAGCAGGACCCCAAACATCAGAAAATATAAGTTGCAATGGTTTGGTAGAAATACTCATGGAAATTGGATAAGGTAATTGATGGCTTTTAGCCTTTTGACAAGAATCACAAATTGTTTCAACATCACGCTCTCCAACATATGGGAGCTTATTCTTCCTAAGCAATCGTTCAACTAAAGAAAAAGATGCATGCCCTAGTCTATCGTGCCACCTTGTCGAGGAGATTTTGGTGACACCATAAGCTTGCTTATTTATTCTTCTAAACTCCGGAATCAATGGGTAAAGCCCGCGAACACATCTACCTCGGTAGAGCACCTTCCTCGTTGCCTGATCCTTGATCAAAAAGAAAAAGGGGTGAAACTCGAGAAAGACATGATTGTCAATGGCAATACGATGAACGGAGAGTAGATTTTTAGATGCACTAGGGACATGAAGAATTTTTCTTAGATGAATCTTTCGGTGAGGGGTTTGAAAAACTGAATGACCAACATGTTTAATCTTCATACCTAATCCACTTGCTGTATGTATCTGGTCTTGGCCGCGATACTTCTCCCGCATAGTCACCTTTTCAAGTTCACCGGTGATATGATTTGTAGCGCCACTATCAACATACCGGTTTGTATCAACCCCGTATGAGGCTTCTGCAGCACCAACGACCTTCTCATCTTGCGAGGATTCTCCTTCATCCTCCTCAAACCGGTACCAGCAATCCCTTGCTGAATGACCGATCTTGCCGTAGATTAGACACTTGACAGCGTCGGGGCGGCTCCTGGAGTTGTTGTGACGGCCCTTGTTATTGGTGTAGGAGGGCCGCCCACGAGAGGCGCTGTTGTTGTTGTTGGAGTTGCCGCTGCCGCCGCCGTTGTTCTTTCCCTTGTTGCGCGGAGGGCCACGGTAGCCGTGTGAGCCACCACGAACGGCAGCGTTGGCGGAGCTCTTGAACCCGGCGTTGTTGCCAGCACCATGGAACATAGCAATGCGCTGGTTGAAGTTGCTTACTTGAGCGAACAGATCATCGATCGTGACCGGTTCTTTGCGGGCGTCGAGTGCCGACACCAGCGGCTGGTACTCCATATACATCCCTGCCAGGATGTAGGAGATGACTTCATCGTCATCCAGCGGCTTGCCAGCGGCCGCCAGCTCATCGGCGAGGGAGCGGATGTGGGCGAAGTAGGTGCCCACCGCTTGCGTGCCCTTCTGCGCGTTGGAGAGGGCGATCCTGATGTTGTTGATGCGGGATCGGGACTGGGACGAGAACATGCTCGCCACAGCAGTCCAGAGCTCATGCGCCTTGCGGATCGAAGGTCACCTGGACAAGAACTTCTCGAGAGAGATTGATCAACAGATGGCCAAGTACCTGTTGATCTTCCTTTACCCAGACTTGGTGTAGAAGGTTCGGGGCGGCTTCCTCCTTGCCATCTTTATCCTTGGTGACGAGGAACTTCTTCGGTTCCTTGATGGATCCGTCGACGTAGCCAAACAGGCCAGCGCCGATGAGCTGGGGCGTGATCTGAGCACGCCAGAGGACATAGTTCGTCCTGGTGAGCTTCTCTGTTACCTGACCATGGATGGTGGGTGCAGGAGCGACGGCGGAAGACGACATGGTTGGAGCCAGGGTTTGATGGATGCTAGATGTTGTGGAAGAGGAAGGCTCTGGTTACCATGTGAAGATGTGGTAAACGTCTTGCCTCGGTATGAGGGGACGTGATTCGTGTTTATAGGCCGGGGCGCAAATCCCTGGAGCGCATACAAAGAGATAGAATACATCTTGGAGAGGATGAAAGAGAAAGATAGTGATAGCCACGGTTAAGCTAGTTATCTAGGCTAACAAACTACCAGAATATCTTCAAGAGATCTACAACGTTGCACTATGCGCTGAACCTTATATGTTTAACACTGACAACTCAATTTCATGATCTCTGAGTCTCTTACAAAAGCACTCGTACCGATCCTGCACCGAAGACGAGACGACCACTCGAACAACAACTCCTGGTGTCGCACGGACAAGGCCAAAGACACAAGTGGCATACGGCAACACTTCCTAATTAACCCTACCCTGATCCGTACTAGGACTACCCGGCAACCTGCTTTAACTAACACTGCATAATTTCCTAACGTTACCCAGCAAGACAGATGCTCCAAGACTAGTTAGTGTACAACTTCAACATTACCTACGCCAACTAGACCGGAAATTGAGCGTTAATTTTAAAAACCTGAAATATTTTTAACGTAAATCACCCGACCTAAATTTCCGGGAAAACTCGAACGCCCCTTTGACATCAAACCGGCCCGGGCCAACTACAAGGCCCCCGATTCTCTCCAATGACCATTATGATAGAGACCGGTGCTATCTACAAACGATTAGGCTTAAAAGTGGCGGGTTTCTTAAGTCCTGTTTGGTTCATAAGTTTTAGAATTTTTTTTAGTCCCAACTAAAAAGTCGCTAGTCCCTAAAAAATCCTTATCTGTTTGGTTTCTGAGACTAAACATGGATTTATGGATCATGTTACAACTAAAAGTCTCAAAAAGACTCTCCTTGATAGTCTTCTTTTATAAGTCCCAAATGCGCACTTTAAGTCCCTATAAATTCCTCCTGTTTGGTTTAGATGGGACTAAAAGAAACTTTTTTAAGTCCCTAGACCAATAAGCCCCTGTAAACAAACACCCCCTTATAAGAGAAAAAAAGGAGAGTCAAGCCGGTGGTTATGCTCTCCCTGTGTCCCAAGGGCGGTTCTGTGTAGTTTGTCTTGTGCATGAGATCAGTGTACATTGCTACTGGGAGTTGTTCCTGTTGTTTACAGGTTCTGATGATGCTCTGTAGTTCAGTTTAATTTGTTAGTTCTGATGATGCACTGTAACGACCTTGCGGCAAGCTTTGAAACAGTGTTACCATGGGCAATGCTTCTTGATGACTTGTCTATGAGTGCTGATATCCTTGCATTTTATCTGTAGGAGGAGCTTTGAAGGTTTGTTAGGGCAGACAAGATGGTTCTCAAGTATGTTACTGTCTTAGATGTCGTGCAGAAATGTTAATGATTTGTAAAATTGCTTCTTCCAATCTTACTTATTCCCACATTTGTGTTCATACAGGACAGAGCTCGGCCGTTTTAGCGGTGCAAAGATATACCTAGGGAAGGGTATCCGATTCATCCGTTCAGAGTGTCAGGTAAGCCCTTGTGCGTCCTTTCGTTATTTTGTATGGAATGAAAATAACTAGAAATTCTCTAACATTCTGCTGCACCTTCTTTGTGTGTGCCCAAAATCAGGTATTCCTTTTCTCGAACTCCAAGTGCAAGCGCTACTTCCGCAACCATCTCAAGCCCGCTAAGCTCACATGGACGGCCAGGTTCAGGAAGCAGCACAAGAAGGTACATGCAAATAAGCCAATCCCTTTAGGGCTTGTTCGGTTAATCCCTCCCACAAGGGGATTGGAGAGAATTGGAGGGGATTGAGGTGGATTTTGATTTGTGGGGGATCTAATCCCTCTCAATCCCCTCCAAACCCCTTCAAATCTGAAGGAACCGAACAAGGCCTTAATGATATACTCCACATCCTAGTTCAGCAAATGTTTCATAATGTTACTAGTATGTCATATTAGAGTGATCTTCTTAGGCAGTGTAAGAGGTGAATCCATCTGGTAACTAGTTGACTTGCTTAAATATTTCACCTGATGAATAATTTCATATTTCAGTAGCTAGCGACAGTCAAACAAAGTGACATATCTAGTAAGTCTCAGGGACTAGAATGATTTGATGACCAGTTTACCACAATGTCAGATAGTCTGTTAACAACATAAATGATATGTATTGCTTAATCATGTGTAATTTCCATTCCTTTGCTTTGCACAGACAGACGTATTGTTTCTTAGATTAGGTCTCTGTTTTATTGTGTTTTCACCGATGCTCCATCACTCGCCGTCCTTGTTTTTATAAGCAACTACAAAATTTATGTTTGTGCATAGGAAATTATGAAGTTGTGCTTATAATTTATTTTGTGGTGTATGCTTGCAGGATATCCATGCCGAGGCTGCAAAGAAGAGGCGGCGCACAACCAAAAGGCCATATTCCAGGTCTATTGTCAGTGCTTCTCTTGATGTCATCCAGAAGAAGAGAGCCGAGAAGCCTGAGGTCCGTGATGCAGCCAGGGAAGCAGCTCTCCGGTAACACTTCCTTCTCCCTCGCTTCCGACCCCTGCTTATAGATATTGTGATGTGCTATACCATATGAACCAACATGTTCTTCTTCTGTTGCATGCCAAACTAGGATTGTTATATCTGTTCTGACTCAAGTTTGTATTGAACTATGTGGTGGAGTTAACGCCTTGTAAACTTCTAATGGGCCGTGTAGTCTTTGAAAGAAATAGATGGTAATTATGTATGGATTGGAGAAGGTAGCTTTAGTTTGGGTTTTAAGAAGCCATTTCTTTTAGGTCACTCACACCTGTGAACTGAACATCATCCATGTAATATCCACTGTGTGTTTCTGCTACTCTTAATGTTTGTACAATATCAGGGACGTCTTGGCACCACATTCTTTTATCTATTGTATATCTATGAGGCACTTACTTACAGTGGTAACTGTTGTAGTATAACAGTGAGATCAAGGAGCGGATCAAAAGTTGTTTCAAAAAAAAGGAGCGGATCAAAAAGACCAAGGACGAGAAACGGGCTAAGAAGGTGGAGGTGACGAAGTCCAGGAAGACGACCGCCCGGCAGAGGGAACGCCCCCAAACCCGGTAAGGCCCCCAAGCTTGGCGGCAATTGATGTTTGTTTCGCACCACGCTGTCGATGTTCGTTTGTCCGTGACCTATCGAAGCCGGTCTCCGTAGACCCTTTCTCATGGCATGTCTGTCATTATCCCCGAAGCTTCCCCTTAATAACTTGATGTTAATCGATGCGGCGCACTGCCGAAATGTCGTCGGAAGGCGACCTTGTGAGGCGATGCTGCTTTTGGCTGGGTCGGGCCGCCACGGAAGCTGTTGGTTCGACGGCCGTGGTCGCCAAGCACTTGCTCCGTCGCTCGTGCAGTACTACTAGTAGATTAGTCATGGTAGGTGTTGAGATTAGTTTCACGGGCTGGTCGGTGCCAGGTTCAGCGCACCTTGATCCGGGAGAAAACTAAGGTTCAGTGAACCTCGTACAGACACCAACCGAGCACGTGTTTTGCCTTTTAATAATTTTTATTTAGCGTGATCGTCTCGATAAGACCGAAGGGGTGGCTTAAAGAAACGATCGTTGTCTCAGACGGACGGGATCATATCCGATCGTACGGCTAGTCGGCGCCGACATGTCACCTAAGCGACAGAAAAGCACGTGGTAGGTGAGGCTCGCCACATGCTTTCTTCCAAGATTGTTTTGCGCAAATCACGTGCGATCAAAGGCTTTGTTCCATTCGTCTGACTAAAGATTTTTGTCTAGTTTGCATCTAATAAAGAAATGAGTTTTGTGGATCCTCAAAAAAAAAAATGAGTTTTGTGTAGTTTTGGGGATTAAAATCTACATTGCCGAAGCTTTTGAGATGGCTCCCGGCCGTATTTGCAAGGGCGATCCGCCAGGAACTTGCAAAAGCTGTCCGTCGGACTTGAGACCGAGGTTGATCCCCAATGAATCGAAGTCGCTCCTGTGTCAGTTTGGTTTGTGCTCCCTCGGCACCTAGCGTGGCATGCCAGTGAGTGTTGATGGAGGGGGCACACGACCTCACCTCACTCCCCTCTAGCCCAGGCAGGGATGGGATCGACCCGGATATTCCAGCCTCGTGTGTGCAGTAAGTAGAGTAGGTCGCAGACAAAGTTTCAGTGGAAAAGCGTTGACACGATCTCAGGCGTCCGTGCAGGTGCGGCGCACCTCGGCTGGTACGTGCAAGTGGATCATTGCGCTCTAGAAAGGAAAAAAAATAATGCATGGCAGCGCCGAGATCTGTTAGCTCGGCAGCCACGTACGCCGAGGCCGTCGACCCGATGGACCACCCACGCCTTTCCGATACCTCTCCGACGTGTCTCCGTGCGTGTCGCTCGCGGTCGACAGCGCCGAGTGCGACGGCACGTCGCACGTCCGACCCACCCACGCCGGCTTCCCTCCCCAGAAATGCGGACCACGTCGCGGCCCGGCCGGACGCCGATGCACCTGGACACCCCACATCGATCGATCGTGTCGACGCGCGCCCAGCGCCACGCGACTCGGTGGTGACCGTCGCACGCCGCGCGACAAGGAAGGCCGGGCGGGGGAAAGCGCGCTGCGCTTTTCGGCGGGGCATGTGCCCGGCCAGCCGCCTGGTGGGGGTGGGGGTGGGTCGGCTCGGCCACGAACGATCCGGTGGGCCGGTTGGTCGCCGCGTGTGCGGCTGCGTGCCCGCAACAATTCCGGGAAAAAGTTCCCCCTAAAAAAAACAATTCCGGGAAAAAGCGTAGGACTGTGTCGCGACCTGCGAGGGGATAAGCTAGCGCAGCTGCGGTGTGGTGTTGTGCACCGGGCGGGCGAATCTTCCCGACGAGCGCCGAGCCTGCGTCGCGGTGGTAGCGACCCGCGCGGGCGCGGGACGGCGTCGATGATTCGAGCCGCCGTGGTCGCGGTCCAGAGGTGTGACGGGGGATAAAAGGGCTTGCTGTCGACGGGCAGATCTCAGAGCATCCGGCACCTCAAATCCTTCTCGAACGCTCCGGAAGCCTCAAACAAACCCAAACGTCCGGCCTGACCGACATCCCTTATATATCTAACATAAATATGGAACGAATGTGGGGCATCCGGACACGCCCGTCACGTTGGATCTTATGTTGGCCTACCCAACCCACGTATATTCCTCCCCAACTGCTCGTCGAACCAAACCCTAACCACTTCACTCTCCTTTCCACCCAAGTTCATCTCCGGCGTTGTCCGACCGTCTCTGCCATGGCAGGCAGCGGATTCAAGTCCTTCACCTCCAGATCCGTCGACCCCGAGCTCATCTCACACGGCCCCAAAGAGGAGATGGCCGTCCGGCATGCGCTCCACCGCTCCCGGGAGGAGGCCCGCGCACGACAGCGCTCGGATTTCTTCCGTTGGGAATCCATTGCGTCCGCCTAAATGACGCATGGATCCGGCGCTAGGGCAGCAGTCGCTACCTCACCGGAGGCGGTGCGAGCCGTCTGGTGTCCGAACACGGTGGCGGACGTGCAACCCCTCCGTTGGCACGCCGAGGTCATGGATGCACCGTGGGCGTTGTCCGATGCAATCATGGCATGGCATGCCCGCCATGCGAGGCAGCGGCAGCGCTCGCGACATGGACGTCGGCGAGGCAGGGTCAAATTCTCCGGCGCCCCATATGGTACACCACTCTGGGCAATGCAACCGTGGCGTGCTGGATGTCGCTGGCTCGTTCCAGGACGGATCCATCATCGATCCTATGTCTACCGACACCCAACAGGTTCCGGGCTTCGACGAGGAAGAGTAGGGCATGGGAGACGACAACGCCTTGAGTCCCTTGAGCTGGATCGTGTCACATGCCCTACTCTACCTTGCCGGCGTCCGGACCAATACTCTCGGAGCGCAGCCGGCCGCCGGATATGGCCACGGTGACCGGACAAGCTCTGCTCAAAATCGCTATGTTGCATGTAGTAACATGGATTTGAGATTTTTAATTTGGGGTATCCGTGCGCATCAGCGGGCATTTGGGAGGCCGAATTTGCCCATCACAGGTGTAGATGCTTTACTCTCTTCTGGTTTGCAATGGATACAATTAAAATGGCATGTCCATTCAATCCTATAGTATTGGAAGTTTGGAACTTGTTTGATTACTATATAGTTACTATAGACAAATTACTATAGAATAAGAATTCAATCCTATGAATCAAAAGATCAACATATGAAAAAAAGAAAGGATTTTAATTCCCCAATAATCAAAGGGAAATCCTATGGATCAAAGGAGCCCTTAAATTAAAAAGGCATGCTTCTATCATGTACTCAGAATAGTGTTTTCATCCTCGTGCAACAAATGGCATTTATGGAAATAATGTTGCGAACTTGCCGGGGTTATTTTTATTTTTATGCCGCTATTTGAGCATACAACACCCTTCTTTGGAGAAAACGTACCACACCATGCCACACCTCCCCTCCCACCCTAATGTCATCGCCAAATGACGACCTTGGCCTAAGATTGCACACTAAACTAGCGGCAATGGGGTTCCTTGCAACGATTTCCTCAAAGGTTCAAGGCATGGTCTTTATCATCGACAAAAGCTCCTTCGGCGACGGAGAGGAGGCGTTGCCCTCGTGCTCAGATGGGGATGAATTTGCACACGATACACGATATGGCTTTGATGCAACTTTCTCGTTGTAACTACGGAGCTAGGGCAATGGACTGGTCAGACTCCCCTAGTCGGGATAGGCTAACCAACTAGCCGCAGATTGGGGAATGTGAGCTTGCTGATGAAAAGCCATGTTTAATTGTGGCTGGAGCAAACAATGTTATATGTGGGCGGTATTACTTTGCTGGAGGCATCATATGGTATAGTTCTTGTCTTTCTGGGATGCTCGGGAGAAACCCTAGATCTCGGTCTTTCCAGGTCTAACGATGGTTGTTGTTCTTTCTAGCTTGTCTTCCTAATTAAAGTTGCCTTGCCGCCGACTGTGCTGACAATTTTCTGGCATGGATCATTGGCTTCAGACGGTTATTACGACAACGGATTAGCCGATGGTCATCTATGGTTTTCTGTGACTTGGTGCCCATTAATATAAATGGAAGTGATGTCAATATATTTGCTCAAATCCTTGGTTGCAAACTAAGTGAGTTCCCTATTAAGTATTTAGGTGCTCCCCTCCATCCCAGAAAACTAAAGAAAAGTGAGCTCCAGCCTACTATTGATAAAATTATTAAAAGGGGAGCTGGGTGGAGAGGGAGATTACTATCTTCTGGCAAGAGACTCACACTAGTGAAGACCTATCTAGCTACTATCCCTGGCTACCTTATGGGGATTATTAAATTCCCAAAATGGGCCATAAAGCTAATTAATTCACAACTAGCTCACTGTTTTTGGGATGATTATGAGGGTCATCATAAATATCACCTTGCTGCCTGGGAGAATGTGACCCTACAAAAGCAACATGGGGGCCTAGGTATCCCCAATATCGCTGACATGAATCTATGCCTATTAGCTTCCTGGATTAAGAGATATTTCCTGGATGAGGGCAAGATTTGGAAGCAAATTATTGATGCCAAATATAGAACTCATAGCCCTAATATTTTTACTATCCCTAGCAATGGTGCTTCCCCTTTCTGGAAAGGGATCCTTTGGGCTACTAAAGCCACTAGAATGGGGTATTCCTGGATAGTCAGTAATGGCAATAGTATTAGATTCTGGGAAGACCAGTGGATTGGGCATACCACTCTTGCTATCCAATATTGGGACTTGTACAATATTGCCAATGACCAGAATATTTCTATCAGTGAAGTGTGGGATGGCACTAATCCTAAAATTAC